GGAATTTCATGTGAAGTCCACTTCGCAGGGCACTTACGGTCGAATAAGACAACGCGTGAATGCTGCCTGAACAAACCTTACTGAAGTGAAAGTGTTGACTGGAGTCACTGTCTTGCGAACACGCCGGCGGATCTCCACCAAATTCGGGGGATCCCTTCAGCTTGAGGAGCCCTCTCGAACGCCACCCTCCGCGCCTCGGTAGCCCCACGGGATCGCTAGATCGGTCGGCGCCGGACCGCGAATTTAACCTCCCGTAACTCCCGAACCCCGGGGGCTATCGACGTGGGGGTGGTCTCATTCGAAAGCGGGCCTCTAGAAGTACACTCGATTCGCGTTCGAGAGGGTTCCTAGAGCTGAAGGGATCCCCCGAATTTGGTGCGGATTAGCGAGGGGCCCTCTCGAACGCCACCCTCCGCGCGTCGGTAGCTCCCTGGAATCGCTAGATCGGTCGGCGCCGGACCGCGAATTTAACCACCCGTAACTCCTGAACCCCGGGGGCTATCGACGTGGGGGTGGTCTCATTCGAAAGCGGGCATCTAGACGTACACTCAATTCATGTTCGAGAGGGTTCCCCCGAATTTGGTGCGGATTCGCCGCGCTGTTACGGAGATATGGCTGTTCAAAGTTTCAATGGTTTTCCATAGACTTTAGCTTTAAAACGTTTCATCCAGGTTGCCAGTAGCAAACAATGGAGCACGCTGTGCTGGACAAACTAAGTAATTACACAATTTCAAGCGTTTTATGAATAAATTACATTTAAACATATATTCAATCAGAAAACTGTTCTTTTAAATTGTAATAATATGTCACAATTGTACTGTTTTTACTGCATTTTTATTTAAATAAATGCAGCCTTGGTGAGCAGAAGACACTTCTTTCAAAAGCATAAAAAAACCCTTAATTATTCCAAACTTTTTCGACAGTTTTATCGTTCAGCAGGTGAAAACGGTTTAGTCCATGTGCTTTGTTAGAACTGGTTTTGGATGGTTTGGGTCTGGACTTTAGGTTTAGGGTTTCAAATGCAGATTATCTGTGCTTTTTAAGAAGCCAGAAGGCCTTATTTTCATATTTTATTTATATCTCTGGCTTGTCGCCTCATGGTGTAGGAGTGAGCATGATTGTGTGTAATGCAGAAGAGCTCAGTCCCGAATGCGCCTGGCGTGCGTGCTTTAGGCTTTCTCACACACTGTCTTCAGTCTGCTCCAGATTCTGTGGATTGTGATGGTTATTCTACAGCAGTCGCTCAAACACCGTCATTCTCTGCGTGTTGTTTCTTGTTGACATTCTGGGAGGATTTGAAACTGTTCGGCTGCTCTTCTGTGTTTCCTCAAGTTTTTTGTGTGCTGCTTGTGAAAGGCCCCGTCTGTGTGTGTGTGTGTGTGTGTGTGTGTGTTGCACTGTTGTGTAGAGAAAGTGCTGTGTTTCTATCCGTTTCCTCTTTCCTGTTTGTGATGATGTCAGATGTTCAGTTGAGAGGCATCAGAGGTTGATTCAGTTCATCAGTGTCATCTTTTGGTGTGTTCCAGTGTTATTTTTATCATTATTAAAATATAAATATATACATATATTGTATCGTTTATGTACTAATATAGTTTTTATTAATATTTTGAGATAGCTTTTTTTATATTTTCAGTTAAATTAATAATAACCTAAACAAATACAGGTAATTTACCAAATTAAAGTTCATTGAAAGTAGGGGTGCTCCGATTGATCGGCTATCGATCACTATCGGCCGATAATCACGTTGGGATGATTGATCGGCGGTCTCTAAAAAGGCCGATCTCAAAAAACCGATCTCAAGCTGATGACGCTGCCATGAGAGGTTTGGCATTTATATATTTATATATTTATTTATATATATTTACATTTAGTCTTAATTTATATTTATTTTAAATTTGGTAATTTTTGTTGTGCATTTAGGCATTTTTATTAGGTTTATATACTTTATAACTTTTATATTTAGCATTAATTTATATTTATTTTAGTTTTAAGTTTTATTAATTGTATTTGCTTTTGTAATTTTTATTAGGTTATTAAAATTTATGTTTAGCATTCATTTATATTTATTTTAGTTTAAGTTTTAGGAATTTAGCTTTTTGTCATTTTTATTAGTTTTTTTTATTTTTCTATTTAGCTTTAATTTATATTTATCTTAATTTGAGTAATTTCATTTCATGTTTGTCTCAGTCTGAGATTTAATTTTTAAATCTGATTTTTAATAGTTTTAGTCAACAATAACGACATTATTTTTCTTTGTTTAGCAAAAAATGTTAAAATTTGTTATTTACTTTAATTTTACTTTATGCTTCAGTTTTAGCGTTATGTTTTAATTATTTTTATTTTAAATAATTACTCATTTTAATTCTACATTGTGATTTTGATTTGAGTAAGTTTTAATTTTAAAAGTAGTATTTTATTTTAATTTTACATTATGCTTTATTTTTGTTATATTTTCATTATTAGTTTAACAGTTTTACATTTGATTTAAATTTTTAGTGAATTTTAATTTAAAGAAAAATTACAGACTTTAATTTAACATTTTATGATTTAGATAGTAAGTTTATTTTAAAATTACTTATTTTATTGTTTTTATTTTAAATTTACTAATAATTTAAATTTTTAGTACGTTTTTTTCTTTAAAATTACTTATTTTATTTTGTTTTTATTTGAAAAATTATTTATTTTATTTAATATATTTTAATGATTTTAGTTTTTATTTATTTATTTATTATAAATTTTCAGTATGTTTTTATTTTAAAATGAATTATTTTGATTGTATATTTTTATGGTTTTATTATTTAGTGACTTAAGTGAGGTGTTCAGAGATGACATATGTAGATTTGTCTGGTATGTTGAATATTTCTCATCATCTTCATGCTTCCCTGTAGAACCAAATGCGAGATTTGTCTTCATTTTAAGATCACACTTGATTTAGCAATGCTCCTGTGTTTTTGTGCAGGGCTGGATTGCGAACGTGCGAGGAGCTTCCTTCCCTTCTCAGGGCAAGCACATCAAATCCAGCTGCAGTCTCGTGGCCTTCAACACAGATCAGACTGGTATGAACACTGTTCTTCACTATCAGCACTGAACATCTGAGCACCTCTGATAACATGTGCACACACCAAACATAAACACCAGGAGAAGCAGTCTGTGTTGCGTTTTGTAAGCGGTGTTTTTAGATGTAACCGTGTCTGTTGTGTCTCTGGAGGAGGTGGGATGGTCGGCCTGTCTTCTGTGAACGCCGCATCTGACGGGAAGTGGACCGTGACCCAGATTTCATGCCATGCTGGTAAGATACCAACAATTGCAGGTCTTACTAACACACTTGTCTCATTTAACTTCATTTGAAGCAGAAGTTGATGTCTGTGAGGATGCTTGGAGCAAATAAAAGTGCTGTCCTGATGCTGTGTCCTGTGTACGTAATGTATGAGTTTGTCCTGATTCTCTTCCTGATCTTCCTGTCCCAGACATCGTGACCGATCTGGACTTCTCGCCGTTTGATGACTATCTGCTGGCGACCTGCTCGGCTGATGAGATGGTGAGTCGTGATAAACCAGTGATAGTTTGTGTCCACTGCAGATTATTCTGAGCAAAAACTGACCGCTTCAACAGCAACAGACTGTCTGAGTGACATGTAAGGTGACCAAGTATCTGAAATCTGATGCCACATTCATAATAAAATGATCAATCACAATATATAGTTGCACAAGGATGTCATACATCATATATGCACAAGTGCATTAATTCTCTAGAAAAAAGAAGAAGCGTTTCTCATTGTAGCAGTCTGGGAACTTATTAATAATAATAATAATTAATAATAATAATTTATGCATTTAGCAGACGCTTTTATCCAAAGCGACTTACAGTGCATTCAGGCTATACATTTTTTTACCAGTATGTGTGTTCCCTGGGAATCGAATCCACGACCTTTTACGCTGCTAACGCAATGCTCTACCACTGAGCCACGGGAACACATTATTAACATGATTGTTTCCTGGTAGATATAAATATATATATAGACAGGGGTGCACATAAGTTTTTCAGCCTGGTTCTCATATGAGAACCTGGAGATTTGGTTTTAGTCCTCACACTGCACATACTGTTACCCATTAAATATAACTATTAAAAAAAATAAATCAATAAGACTGATAATAATATTGCACTTTATTTATTTAGTTTCTTTTTAAATAAAATAATAAACTAAATAATAAAACGTGATAATACTATTATATTTTAAAATTAAAGGGAAGTATTAAATACAAATACAATTATTTTATAGTAAACTTAAAAATAAAATGTTAATATTTACTACTTTTTTAATTTTCATAATTTTCAAACTTAAAATCAGCAGGCTTTTATTTTGGCGGGTACCCGCTTCCGGGTTTGGAGCTGCCGATTGTAGAGCGTCAGTGAATGAAATGTCACAGTTTTGCATTGTGCTTTGAAAAACGGCAGCGGATAGTACGGTGGCCTAGGGGTGTGCGATATTGACAAAAAATTATATCTCGATATTTTCTGGGATTTTATCGATAACGATAAATAGACAATATTTTGCTATAGAGTGTGTTATTGTGCTGATATCTTATCTCTAATTGTGCTGACAGCTGACTCCTGAATTTTTTGATATTCTTCATATTCTGTGTGGTCAGTTCACATCAGTGATGTAAATTAATCCTTTCCAACAAGTTTTATGGGCATTTTTACCATTAAGCCATTTTTTCTAAAAGTGTGCATCATCTTTTGAGTCACATTCTTGCATTTGGGCTGTTACCAAG